AAATGATACCCTATTCTAGACCCAAACGCTCTGATTTATATACCCTATCCTAGAGTAAACTGCTTAAAAATCATACCCTTCACAGCGGCACATACTTATATAGGCCATATATAGCAGTGCCACCCCCCTCCCCGCCGCCCGGGAAGCAATCATAGCGCGCGCTAGTAGTCTGCGAAAAACTGTAGTAATCCACCTTAAAAAGACCTAACAAAATCAACCGACCTGTTCGTTCCCGTGTTTCCTGAAAATAGTCCATTAGTACGGGAAACAGAACTCCAAAGTTGAGCGAGACGCCCAACGACAGAACAATCAAGAACGTGGCACAGAAACAAACTAGCCATGACCAGGGACTGTCAAGTTCTTTCCTGCAAATGCTCCCGCATTGAGGTGAATTTGCTGAGAAAAGTCCGAAGCATGTCATCATTATTGTTCTAAAGTTCCAACGAGAGAGATCAAAGAATTTGATCAGCCTTTAACTGTAAAATCCATTTTCACTCAACTACCACATGAATGTAGACTGACTGGGCGAAATGTGGCACGACTGGTGAACCTATGTTACGCACGTGACAATCTGGGATTTTTTCCTAATTGTACGTAAAATGATGTGAGGGAGGGGTAGCTAGATACGAGATGGTTTACCTTTTCTGTACTTTAAAGAGTATGTCCCCTCTTCTAATTCTGCCACTTTCTTATTCCTTTTCGTTTTGATCACGACTTTTTAAATTTTTATTTATTTATTTTTTTTAAAATGAACTTCCCTTGAAGTAGCCACCCCTAGTTGCTGAATAACTGACTTCCTCTCTACCCTCCCCCTAAAATACCCTTGTTGTTCATGCATGCAGACATGCGCACTGTTACGTCATCTGGTAAACACTGCAAATGGCGCACCTTCGGAAAACGGTTCCAGTTTGCGGGAAGAACGATTCCTTTTGTCCAAACAGCATCCTACTTTTGCCTGACAGACCAACTACCTTTGGAAGAATAATATCTCCCGATACAAATGTCCGGTTATTGTCGAAAGCGACGCCTTTGATGATTTCTCGCAGACATGCCACGGTTTCTCTTTCGGCGGGCAAATGGACGATAACCGACCATGAGGTACAATAAATAGCTAGGCTTTATTTTTATCCGGGACGTTGATAACGCTTTGATATTTTTATTTAAAAACGTTGCTCAGTGTGGTTTTTTTTCATGTGGTTTGTATTTGGGTTTTATTCGGGGTGCTCAACCGAAATTTCTAAGCTTACATGCACTGTGTTTGCAGTGGTCAAGCGAGAGAGCTTTTCGCGTTTGTTGTTGTTTTTTTTCGTTGATGAATAATCAATGAGTTTGGATGGTTCGCAGCTGGTTGGATAACACACAAAAGACCACCTTAAATCATGGTTATTAAAATCTGACTTCAAAACAAAGGTTTCTTACGTAGTTTAGATTGCGCTTTAAACAGCTGGCTCGAAAGCACTCTTGATAATATAAGCTCTGCGCAGTGAACAAATATAGACTCCTTTATTTCTTCGTGTTCCTTCTTGTGTAGCTGATATCTTGTAAGAATGCGTAC